TTATTAATTTCTTATATTAATTTCTTATTAAATACAAAAAGTTAATAATTTAATAAAATTTTATTACAAAATTTATTAATTATTCTTATAATATTTATCAACTTTTTATATAATACATTTCTAATAACTTCCTTAATAAAAATTTTACTCACAAAATTGATTATCTAACCAAACAAACCCTTAATAAAATCCCAAATAACAAAAGTCATCAGGATTGTTTTTTTAAAACTGTGAAATTTAAATAATTTAATAGTAATTTTTTTTAAGTAAAAGTAACAGTAAAAAATCCAACCCTTTCAAGTGAAAGCAAAATTTGCTATTAGATCCATCTCCCCAAGAGATTTTATTAACTCTAATGGTTAATAATAGGAACATTACTACCTTTAAGAATTAAATTTACTTATATATAAGCTTTATTTTATAAATTATATTCAAATTTTAAGTCTTACTACTTTAATTATTTTTTAAAAATTAAAATAACTTTTTTTATCTCAAAATAACTGTTTTATTTCAAATTAATTAACATTTTTTTAAATAAAATTTTTCTAGTATTATTCATTTACCTTAATTATTTACCTTATCACAAAACCTCTCTTTCTTTAATTTTTTTAAGGGTAATATAATTAAAGTAATACACAAATTGTCTACAAAATTTTAATTTAAAGAAAAAATTTTAAAAATAGCACACTTAAGTTTCATAACTCAATGACTTTATACTTGTAGTAAAATACATTCCTTAACTTTAGGATTGGACGCAACTCCAAATTATAAACCGTGCCAAAAAAAAAAAAAAAAGTCAAAGAGATAGCAGTTCATTTGAGACAGAGTAAGTACGTTCATTCTTAGCTCCCCAGTATGCCGTTCACGACCGATGATTCCTGATGTATAATAGACATAAATTTGATATGCTACCATAGACATTCAAACTAAGATTTTAGTTTCATTGGTAACAGTTACAATCATGGTTGGCTGATAAAATTTCAAAACAAGCCCACCAATCACATCTTGCAACGAAACTATTACCAACGGTTGTTTCAATTTTCCATAAATACAGAACAAAAGGAAACTAAAGTTAACCGCAATTGACATAAAGCTGCATGCAGAAAATGTTAGGAGGTCATGCGTTGTTGTACTGTCCATTAAGCAACTCCTATCCGGCTATCCCCTATGGATTTGCCAGCTGAAAATGAAACAAGAGTTAATCCACAAACCAACCAAGATATACGTAGCACGAGTGCAACAATCATGAGCAGTGAATTACATATATAATGGTTTCAATAAGCAGATAAACTCTCATATCTTCGTCTTTTATTCTTGCCATTAGTAGGATAATGAAACATGAACAAATAGGCATGTAAGGATATAAGATATAAGAAATCAAATGTGTAGTAGTCCAGGTATAACTACAGGTTACCTGCTCAGAACCCGAAATATTAGGTAGTCCACCAAGCTTATCAAGAAATTTCTGCATGTTGGAAGTTAGTGCAGCTATCTGGTTCTCAATACGATCATATTTTTGTTCCACGGCATTTATTTTCTCCAACACCTTGCTTACTTCCTTTTTTGCTGACTTCCTAGCATGAGACTTCATCCTTGTGACGTTACCACCATTACGTTTTTGGCCATGAACATCATCATCATCATCATTGGTGGGACCTAATCCATCGGAGTGGATGGGGCTGGGGTTTTCTTCTTCTATAGCTTGACAGAAGGTGTCATTTGAGCCATCACTACATTCTGAGGTCTTCTGTTTCTTAGCTTCAACGAGTTTTGACTGCAAATAAGTAGCTGAATGTTTAGCCTACAACAGAAGTGCAAATATTGACCCGCAAAATGGTAGTTACATACTATTGTTGTTGCCGCTATCTCATCTATGGGCTGCCCATCTTTACGTGTATGTGTTAATATATACAGCTCAGCTCTAGTTGGATCCTTTCCATCAGGTCTCTTCCTTCTCTGTTGTCATATGAACAATTATAACTTGTTTTGTTGCAGCTTTGTTTCCACAACAGAAACAGCATGTATGAAATTAAAAGTTCAAAAGCAAAAGAAATTACCTCCTCCTCAAGAATCCTTGCATAGCTCTTTTGGCCTGAAGTGTGTCCACCCTTCTGTTTTGCACGGTTGGCCTTATTTATAGCGCATACCATCTGTCAATGGCCCATGTGAGTGTTATATATTCACTTCAGTGCAGAGCAATTTTTTTTTTTAATCAGCAAAACAATTTTTTTTTTTGGGAGTATAAGGTGTGCTCCAACCCATTCCATGATTTCAGTGGAGAGCAATTGACATGACAACAACCTATTCCATATTATTAGAGAAGTTTGTATTGACAATTACTAACAGCACAAACCTTTACACTATCAGAGTTCCAATATGAGATGAGAACTGGCCATTGGTCAGGAACAATCCTTGGAGGACGGTCCTTCAAGCGCTCCTCATCAGTCTCATGAGGATAATAATGCTTAGCCTTTATATCTGTCTTCCAGTTGTTCCATTTTATTGCAAGGGACCTCAAGACCCAGGCCTTGCAACTTGGATCAACATCAAACTTTTCCTATAGCATGGAAGAAAAGAAACATCACTTTGAAAGAATAATATAACAGAGGAGAAAGAATAATAAAAAGGCTAGTATTGCTTCTTCCTACTTGAACCAAATGCCACATGTCCTCTTTGTATGAATCAGGCATTTCTTTCCAATTGAAAAATGTAAGAGGTGCCCTATGACCATCCCGTGCTATGGTGCCTAGGAAGCTGCTTAGCTTAGCCGCCTCAGAGCCAACAGGCCGCCCCTGGTTGTCAAAAGGTACAATAATCCGCTGACCTTCCGGAAGGTCTCTGAGGAAGAGGCAGCGAGTTGGGCCTCTCACTCTCTTCATCTTCTTTGTAGACTGCTGCTGTGATTGGGTTTCTTGATTCTGGTTCAGTTGGGTGTGTTCAGGGTGTGATTCAGCTGGGCCCAACTGATCCTCATACCCTTGGCTGGGATTGTCTGTGGCAGGCCCAGCAGAATACCTCAATGCACATCTAATGCCCCTCGTGGCTGAGTCTGCTAGTGAAACCTGAGAATTTTCTGCAAAGAAAGTGAAGGGGATATATATGCATGTATGTATGTGTTTATGTATATATGCAATGTGGTTTAGATAAAACTGAAAATACTTGAAAAAAAATTCAGAGAGAAACAAATAAAAACCTAAATTATGTAAGAAACCTGACTTTATGAGATCTGGAAATTTAATAAAGTCTGTGCTGGATTCTACTGTTTAATGTATTATGTTTGTATCAGTTTAACCATTAAATTGGAAAGGAAAAAAATGTACCCTTACAGCATATTACATAAACATAATCCTAAACAGATTGTTTATGTACCAAATGATAAAAGAAATAGCACAGGCACGGTACCAGTATCTCCATTGGCTGGCAACCAGGACTGAGGCTGACCATGGCTCCCCAGCAGCTGCTGTGGTTCATTTAACTGGCCATTGCTCAATGGAGATTGTTGGGGATGCTGTTGACAAGGGCCAACAACCACGGAATCTGTTGGAGGTACATACCCACTGTCCCTCGTACCATCTGTCTGAGGTGGCAAGTGTGAATACCCTACCAAATAAAAAGATTTGCCACAGATGTTAACAAAAATAAGATCATCCTTTATCACAAATATGACTTGAAAGGGACATCAAGATTCTTTATGAAAAGTGTAGCACGAGAACATGTGCTGAAAACATCAAAAACTGTGGCAGATTATTGGAATAAAAAAATAACAAATTACAATAGATATAATATCTCTACATTAAAAAATAGACATAATATCTAACCACAAGCTGAAAATACTAAATAAGAACATTGAGAATTTGAACCACTGCTAGGAATACCAGTGTCTGGAACAGACTGTAATCGTGACTGTTGCAGCTTGCTGGTGCTTTGCTGTGGCTGCTGTGAAACACATGGCTGTGTGTGGCTCAACTGGGGGGGCTGCAGTGGCTGCGGCTGGTTTGTAGGGCCACTAACCATGGGGCCTAATGAAGACCTAGGAGCGTAGTTTTTATAATTCTGCACTGAGTCAGTAGGCGGCTGAAAGTGTGAATGTCCTGCAGGGAAAAAATACATGACTATAGAAAAATCTAGAGGAATAGTGCAATCCATCTAATAGCAGGCTATACAATAGGGAATACCCCTATTTTCCAGATCCTTTCCAGTCCCCACCCATCCCAAGGTTTAAACATGAGACCAACTTGGAAGACTGAAGCTCCAGTTGTTGAGACATTCCCTAAGGGACTTGCCATTAATAACACAAGAGGTAATTAAGAACCTGGAAAAGTTAGATTAGATCCTGCTGATCCAAAAGAAAGTTAGATTAAGATCCTAAGCAACATCTATTTCAACACATGAGATAACTGGGAATACTATTCAAAGCTATTTCATGTTGGAGTCGGACATACATCACTAATGGCGCATTCTCTGGCTAAAAGTGTGTGCATTTAGTTGCACCCAAGATCCAAAGAGCAAAGCATGACTTTACCCACATTAAATATTAACATGACTTCATAGTCTGTTCTCCAGATGAAAAACATGGGAGTTCATGCACATCTAAGCATAAGAAAAATAATAACTTTTCAAATCTAATGTGAATAGTAAATTAAAGTTAATAGTTGTGCTCACATCATCCAAAAAACATGATAACATACCCCCTTTCTCAGTTTTATAACTACCATTCAACATAGAGAGAGAATTTAGGAAAAGGCAGTCACTCACATGATAGAAAATCAACAAGTTTTGAAATTTGCTCAAATGATTCCAAAATATGAGACAATTTTTAAACAACAATATTGTAAAGGAACAATAGTAGGAAACCAAAAGGTGATGAGTCATAACTTTTTATTGTGGACTACTGCTTCTAAAGAAAGGCATATAATTGGGACAGGGAGAGTGCATCGGCAGCACCCGAGTTTTGTGTGTGTCTGTGAGAGAGAATGTGTCACATATGATAAATAGAGCACCTGCACTACTACAATCAGCAAGCTGTGGTAACTGAGAGTGTTGTGGCTGGTTGCTGCTTGGCTGAGGATGCTGTAATTGGTAAGGGTGCATGTAGCTTGGTGGATGAAACTGAGAGAAAGGTGGTGACATGGTAGTTGGAAGAGGTTGCTGTGGTTGATAAAATTGGTTATAGCTAAATGGAGGCACCTGCATATGGAGCTGATAAGGGTCTGGTCTACTTTTCTGTATCTGCCTAGTGTCATCCATTGCATTGCCCAAGGCATGCACCGGGTCCCATCTGCTGTGTCTCATAGCATGGTCCACAGGAGCCTGTAACTGTAAATTTCCTGTGGAGAGAAAGACAAGTGACAAAATATTTGATGAAAAATCCTTTTATGAAAATATGACAGAGAAATTAACAGAGATTTCATGAAAATTACACTAGGATGCACCTGCTAACATAAGGACCTTGATATTAGAATGAAACTAACAAAAAAATAAAGGCATTGGTATGTATTGTCCGCACAGACACAACCCATTTTGCATAGACAAAGCTCTACCCAGTATTTTTAGCCTACAATGTAATTCTTTTGTGACTAACTGCATCAAGGATCTCTGAACAAGTTCAACCAAATAAAGAAGTATTCATGCAAGATCACTTCTATATCACTTTAATGGATAAAGTAGTGAGGAAACTGTAAACCAGAATAGAAAAATAATTATATGAGAGCCAAACTTAAAAAAACAAATAAATAATAATGATATGCAATATACAAATTTTTACAAGGAAGAAAATGCAAAGACAACAGATACTTCCTTTTTTAAAAATGAAAATTATTTTGCATATATTCATGAAAATCAAGAGGTCTGCTATTTTAGTTTTTGGCCACATCAAATTTAGATATGTGGTTAAGTGACAAAGTGAACAAAAATTTACTGGTCACTCTAATGAAAAGAAAAATTAAAATGAATCAACTTAGAAAGTGCACCATTTCAAGAACATACCATTAGGTTTTCTTGATTGTTCAATGCCCAAATCAGCTGCCTTCCAGTATTTCATGAATTTCTTCTTCACCCGTTTCACCAGATACACCATATATTCACCCTTCTTATGGTACTTGCAGCAGTTCTCCCAGATTAATTTCACATCTTTGAATACATCCTCAGAGTAAGTGTACCTAACATTATTTTGTAACATGCGGCATATTTTCCCAAAATCCATTGGATTATCAATCACATCTAAATAATCCTGCTTACAATCAACCACACCCAAAGAAGAGGAAATGTGTTAGAGAGAGAGAGAGAGAGAGAGAGAGAGAGAGAGAGAGATTAAATGATTAATTCATGTACTTAACATTGGCTAGAGAGCATGTCCACCATTCAGGTAACATTTGATGAATGATAACAATAATATCAAAAAAACTAATATTAATGCTTCATAATTTGTGCCACATGAACAAATATGAAGCCTGTTATTTCCACATAATTTTTCATCAGAGCTTATAAAGCATGTGAAATCTTAATAAAAACAAAAGCTAACAATCAGTTAGAATGAAAGATGCTAATGAATTTATTGGCCTCATATATACCATTAAATCTCCAACTCTTTGAAATTCCATCTACTCAAATTCACCAAGGGGAACAGTCAATAACCAATTCAATCATCCAACTGAGCATGCTATTTGAACCCAGGATTTGGGTTAGAAAGGATGAGAACTAACTAATTTGACATAAGCATTTGCTAACTTTGACATATACTCTGGCAATGAATGTGTTTAACACACACTAATTAAAACTTACAGGTTTCCCCAGAGCATCAAGATCTACTGGAACATTGAAAGGCTGTGCCTCATCCATTTGCATAACTTTCTTAATTACCTGTTCACAAAGAGATCCAAAGCATTAGCCATTTTTCAAACAGAATTTGGCAACAACTCTCACTTTCTTGGTTAGCAACCAAAAATGAATATCTGTACAAAATCTGTTAGAGGACACTTTCAAAATTCTCAAAAAATGCCTAAAACTTTAAATTGATAATAAATCTTGGCATACCGCCAAGGCAGATCTTAGGTCCTTGTTATTGCACTGCAGAACCTGAGGAGGTGCCATGAATTCCTTTTGATTTCTACTGGAAGAACGCAAAACCCGTGATGAATTATGGTTCTCCTTCCCCTTTTTCTTTGACAATTCCCTTGATTTTTGTTTTGCTTTAACATGCCCTTTAACCAATTTACTTGATCTCTTATCAATTGATGAGTCATCAGAACTGCTATCTTCAACACAGAATGACTCATCACTCTCACTTGAAGAAGATGAACCATCACCTCCCGCAAAGTGAATATCATTGCCAGAACCACGGTTAGGTTGACCAATTTCATAATCATTTGAGTCCTCACACCTGGAGTTTTCTTTGTTGTTCTGATTTACAAAATTCAAACATGCGTCTTCTTTTTGACCCACCGCAGAGGATAATAAGGGAGCTGACTTCGTTTTTGTTTCTTCATTTTGTCCCACCGTGGATGGGTTTTTGGAAACAGGTTTCCTTACAGCACGTTTGCGCTTTGCCCTCATGTTTTCTCATCAACTCAAAGGCTGCAAAAAGTGCAAACAGCGTATCATATACCTACCAAAGCTACAGTGCTTCAAAACCCCGACTTTCTTAGCTTCCAATTCCACAAAAACAATACAACATTAAAGTAAGCAATGCAATTTTAGCAAACGGAAAACATGAAAAATTTTCTAAAACTATCGTCCCATAACCCAACACCTGTCTCTTCTCCCAGGGGAAAGAAGGGGTTATCCAAATCCAGAAACAGTGAAACCATAATAAGCATTATATTTTATCTATTATAAACATATATATAAATAAATAAATAATAAAAATAAAAACATGAACTCTTACTCTGAAATCAAAATCTGAGACTAACTTACAGAAGTTTGCTAAACAAATAAAACCAGAAGACAGAAAAAGAAATCCCAGAAACTGAATTCTCATAATAAGTTCAGCCTACCTTGGTTTGAGAGAAATGGAGAGGAGGGGAAGAAAAATTTTCCCTCCTCTCCACTACATTTGCCTCAAACCAAACAGACTCCCTGCTACAGCAGATGGTGTAAACTTCAAGGAGAGATCACCTCATCTTTAGCTAAAATAAGCTAGGAGATGCTGTTCTAGTTCTAGTTAATCCGAAAAATTCCCTCAGTTTTCCGCACTTCCGTTGAAGCAAAAGAGAATCTCAAAGGGAGAGAGGAGAGAAAGCTACCTAATTGAAGAGAATACTGGCGAGATTAGGGCTTTCCGTGGGGAAGCTACCGGCCTGAAAAACTGAGAAGTGGTGACGGCTGTAGCTGATTATAGTGGGGATCGCGCCGATTTAGTGACAGAGTGATGTCCCCGAGCAGAAATCATCCAACGGCGTCAGCTCCTCCATCTCCTCCTATCTGATACTTAACCTGACACGTGTAATATGCTTCTAAGGGCCGTTTGGTTACTACTTTATTGAAAGGTATTTCCAAAATGAGTTAGTCAAAAAACCGTTTTATAATGCAACGTAAATAGTTTGGTCTTCAAAAATTATTTAAATGTTTTTAATAAAAAAATATAAAAATAAAATTAAATATATTAAAATAATTTTACAATATGAGTTTCATATCATTTATCCCATAAAACAGTTTTTTTAAGTTGGTCGATTTTTTTTAAGTCAGTTTGATTTAAGAAACTTTTCTTACAAGCACAAAAGTCAAGAAAAATATAGTTTGATATAATTTTATATACAGTAATTATAAAGTGAAAATAGTTAATTAGAATAGAATACAACCAATAACCGAGATTGGAAATCTTTTAAAAAATAAAAAAAAAACATTTGAGAAAGTTTATCTTCCAAGTTCAATAGTACACCATATTCAAATTTAGTGGATTACACTACTTTTGAAGCAATTGTAACAAATTACACGCAAATATAACTAATTATATTTTTTAACTGAAATTTAAACCAAAAATTAACTTTTTGGGCCTTTAACTAGCTCAAAATTTTGTTAATTTCTTCATAAGTACCTTTAAATAAAGTGGTAATCAAACAAACCCTAGAAAACTAAAATTCTATATTTAGCTCGCTTAGTTTGAGGGAAGTTTAAAAATAAAGAGATATTATTTCAATCAATTAAATTAATTTATTTCAGCAACAGTTAGTTTGATTGATTAAAATCACATTTCATTTTTCTTCTTTACTCTCAAATCAAACAATCTCATCTTTTTTTTACATCTAATTATAGATTATATAAATAACTATGCTCTTTCTCTAAATTCTTTATTACCTAATTTAAAGCTTAAATTTCAAACTTTTAAATTAATATTTTAAAATTTTAACAAATCAACTCACTCCCTTAAAAACATACATATCACCCAATCATTTTCCAAATATGACTTCAAAAAAAAAAAAAAAAAAAAGGATTGAGGTTATATTTTTTTGTTTCAAGTCATATTTGAAATTGTTATAAAGTGCTTTATAAGTTGTTTTTTTAGTATATTTTTATAAAAAAATAATATTTTACTCTTTGATTTGATAATTATTTTAAAAAATATTATATATTAATATGATTATTTAATTATATAAAATATCAATTAAAATTAATTATATTATAATAAATTAATAATTTTATGAAATATTACCTAAAAAAAGTATACTAAGAAAGCAATTTGAAACACAATCTGAATTTCTAATCCGCAAAACATCTTTGGAGTGTCAGAGAGACACTATTTTAGGGAATGTTATGTCACATCTAATTTGTCAACATCACTCAAAAATATTATAGACTTATTTTGTAACTTTTAATTAAAACCATTTCTAAAACATCATCCCTATTTACACTTAACAAAATAAAAGTTTTTTTTTAGAATGGTATTAACATTTTCAAGCTGAATTTTAATCTGAAATCACAGTAAGAAATTAGGGGTATGTTTGGATCAGCTCTTAGGAGTTTCAACTTTTGGATACTATTTATGTCTCATAAATTAAAATTTTTCTTTTAAAATTTTACACTTTTAAATATTTTTTTAACTTCGAAAAGCTCTTAAACAATAAAAGTTCAAAAATTTCAAATTCAAACTTTTCATAAACTCTCTTTTTACTCACTTTCACTCACTTTTTCAGCCTAGTATGGTTTGTGGGAGCTTGTGCTTTTTGATTACTGTTATGAGTGGTAAGTTTAAATTTTTATTAGAAGGAAAAATAGAGTTTTAACTTTTAAAAAGTTGAAAAAGTGAGTGAAAGTGAGTAAAAAGAGAGTTTATGAAAAGTTTGAATTTAAAATTTTTGAACTTTTATTATTTAAGA